GATAGATAGATAGATAGATAGATAGATAGATAGATAGATAGATAGATGAAAAGAAAGAGAGAAAAAGAAAGAGAGAAAGAAAGATAGATAGGAAGAAGATGCAGTTGTTCCCAAATGTTGCCTAAAAACTAGCCTTTTTAAACTTTTGCACAGCTCTTATGAGTATTGGAAACTGACAGGATATTGGCTTTAGTTAAAAGCAGCTCTTTATTTTAATTCTAACTTTTATATTGATTTCACGATAAAAACATAGCCTTTCTATTTTGCTTTCCTAAGCTGTTCTTTTCCTGGACTGTATTGTCAACAATGTGAGTTATTTGCTATTAATCCCTTACTGGTGTTTTAGTACATAATTTTTAAAGCTGGATAATAGGTAGAGATTGAATAAAGAATAAAATCATGCAATAGAAATAGTATAAATGTGGTATATTAATACTGCTTTTTATTATCTGTAATTTGCAGTAATCATAGAGCAAATGGTACATTGCATATTTTTCCTGTTAAGTATGCAGAGATAATGGTAACAAGAATGACTGATTGTTTCAGATTTAAAGTCCTATGTTTTCTATAGATTTCAGCTAAGGATTTTAAATTGCTCTTTTAATTAGACATTTTTTATACATTTGCAGACAGCTAGGGCTAGATTTGGTTCCAAGAAAGGAATATGCAATGGTGGATCCAGAGGAAATCAGTATTACAGAGTTGTACAGATTGGTAAGCAAATAACTCACTTTATGTATGGGTGAATGCTGCTGTGTTACAATCTCCCTCCCCCCTCCCTCTCTCTCTCTCTTTCTCCCCTAATTTACAAGATTGTCATGCAAAAAGAAAAGCATTAAATCTACCCAGAGGTTCCTGGGAAAGGGTGCTAAAAATGTAATGAACATGTGAAAAAGTGACCTTTGTGTTTATCTGAAATAATGATTGGCTAATGAATCTAGAAATAAGATATTGTCTAGTATTGTCTCACAAGAAACAGATGAACAACTTCAAGTGTTTGATTTAAACAATCATAAGTGGTTGACAAAATAAAGTGATGAGCAAGAAAATGCCTTTTTGTATGTTTATATTTCATGAATTAAAATTAGCATAAACTGGTTTGATATTTGTGTGGCACTCTATATTTAGATGGAGCATCGTCATCGCAAAAAAGACACACCAATCCCAGCAAGCAGCCACCATCTCTTTTTGCAGATGAAGAGTTTGATGTGTTCCAATCTAGGAGAAGAACTAGAAGTTATCTTTTCACTTTTTGATAGTAAAGAGAATCGACCAATCAGGTAGCACCTCTTTTTCATAAAGAATGAAGAAATATACAACTTCATCCGTTCTTGCATTTACCTGGATAACAAAATCATTTTGACTTTTTAACACTGAATCTTGTAGTCCATAAATATAGTCCCACATGTATTTCATGTTGTTGCTGCTGTTGAATGCTTTTAATCTGGCTCTTAATCACTGAATATGTAGATACAGAAAATTCTTACTCACTATACTGGAGATCCAAAAGTGTTGGCTAATGGATCTAATAAATTAACAGAGTCATAAAGATATTTTGCTTGGTTTTTACTTAGAATGAGTACAACATTGTGACTTATAATAGACAATTATAATAGACAACTATAGTTTCTGTGGAACATAGTTTTGCTGTAAATAAAATGGTTACATACCTTATAATCTGATTAAATATTGCCAGTGATATCACCGACACATTTTTTTCTTCCTACACCTACATTCACATAATTGTTTCCATTTTGACTCATGTGTTTTTAATTTTTTTCTGGAAAGTATCATATATATTTTTTAAAAATAATGAATGATAAGGAAATAGAGAAGCAATTTTGAGTAGTGTCAAACTTTGTAGTTTTTATACCTTAAATTCTGGAATAGCAACCACAAGGATGAAAGTGGCTAATAGGCCATAAATGGAAGGCTATTGCAGTGTTATATATGTTTGGGTATGTGAAATTCCCCCAAACAGGTTAAGTTAATTGATATTAAGACCAATTAATCTGGGTCTTAGAAAACATATTTTAGGATGCAGTCACACAAAATATAGGCTTGGCTAGCCTTTCCTTCCCAATCTCCTTTCTTTTTGGCTACTATGATTCATCCTTTCATCCTTCTGAGGCTAGTAAAATGAGGACCCAGATGGTTGGGGGCAGTATGCTGACTCTGTAAACCACCTAGAGAAGGCTATAAAGCACTCTGAAGTAGTATATAAGTCTTGCTATACCTTCACTTTTACAGACAGTGGAGCGACAGCAGCACATTTGGAAGACTCACATGGCTAATTGGAAAACTGTATCCAGCTGTCTCTGCTTTTGTGTATATGGAGAGCCACTTGTTTTTTCCCTGAAAAAAAAAACACTCTTGCTTTACTGCAAAAAAACGAAGATACTTCATAGTTCAAGGAATCTCTGGTTCTTCCTTATTATTGGCCTAATGACATCTAAAATTTGTGTCCACTTCTGGATTTTGCAATTTAAGTGAGATCCTGACAAACTGGAAGCATATCCAGTGATAAAGATCTTGGGGAAAAAAACTTAAGGATAACAGTAAGAACTGTTCAACTATGGCACAGAGGTGGCAGATTCTCCTTCACTGGAGACATTTTAAACACAGAGGCAGGATGTTCGTCTATGGAGATGCTGTAGCAGTAGATTCTTGTACTGGACTAGGTATATATAATTGGACTGGGTGATTTCTAAATTCCTTCCAATCTTTACAGTCTGTGATTGATTTGAACGCTTTGCATGATTTTATTTGATACTATGAAACATAACATAACATAATATATTTTTATTTATTGCCAAGTTATAATTTTTCTGTCTCATCAGCCTTCTCAGGAAAGCAGAACTCTTAAAACAAATGACATTTCAAAAGGAACTTTTATTGGAAGATAGTGATAGCAGAGAGAGTGTAGGTAGAATCTGAATTTCGCAGATTGGAGCATAAGGTTAAAACCGCTCCTTTCAAGCCCCGTCCAGATCTCCAGTTCATCTTTGAATCAATCCAAAGGTGCAAAGATGTTGTGAGGATTTCGGGCTGAGAAGGTGATAACAGGCAGTTCCCAGGTGCCATGATCTCAACTCCACCAGTGGTGAGACAAAACAGGTGGCTCAAGGCATATTCTTTCCCCATTCCCAACATCCCAAAGGTACATCAAAGCAGAGAAAAGGAACAAAGGAAAATCCCATGCAAACATAACCCAAATCCTTCCCTTTCCCACCAGAATGGCAAGGTCCTGATAGAGATCTATGGGACCTGATATCCTGTCTTTCCTCTGCACTTATTGAAAGCCATTAATAAGGGTTTAAGCAGTATTACATCCGCTACCTACTGAGCCTTTTATTTACCAGATCTGTTTATGATGGATATGTGTTTGTGATTTGGGGAAAGAAAGGCAGAGTTTTTCAGTTCTAATAAATAATTGGAAAACTACCCAATATCAGAGTAAAGTTCATTTTTCTAGTCACAGAACTACTCAGTGCTTAGATTTACATGGGTTGTAAGATAGAATAGAAAACTCAGGTACATGATCCTAATCCCATCTTTATGAAAGCAGTGGAAGTTTCATTATACGACTGGTTCTGAATTTTTAGTCCATGGAGGGGGGGTGGGGAAGATGCCACAAAGGCTTGAAAAAAATGTTATGTTTTAAATCTTAAGTCTTGTAAATACCTTTTGCGGCCATAGACTCCCAAGACTACAAGACAAGGGTCTCTTGTAAAGAAAAGATTGAGAACCATTACATTACACTGTATAGAACAGGGCTGTCAAACTTCTGGCCCACGGGCCGGATGTGTCACCTGGCCATGCCCACTCCCAGTTTAGCGAAGGGGGGGTGGGAATTTTTGATGCTTCATGTGACACTGCTATGACAACATGAGTTTGACATCCCTGATGTAGAATTTCACTTAGGAGATAGCTGGTAGGATAGTTGTCTGTATAAAAGTATAAAATCCAGGGCCTGCACAATCACTTTCATGTGGCAGGAGACTTTATTACTGCCAAAAAATAAATCATGGACCAAAAAGAAGAAAGTATCATTTTAGTAAAATATTGCATAAGCATTATAAATTATAATTTATTAGGTGGAGATTCTACGTGCTATGTGTATAAAGTTGGCATTTTATTTTATTTATTTATTTATTTTATTTGGTTTGTCAATTGCTTACAAGATAATAGGTATAAGTAAAAACATAGTTATGAATACATGGATACATATAAGAAAAATAAAAGAAACAATAGGACAGGGATGGTAGGCATGTTGGTGCGCTTATGCACGCCCCCTACAGACCTCTTAGGAAAGGGGTGAAGTCAATAGTAGAAAGTCTAAGGTTAAAAGTTTTTGGGGTTTGGGGAAGAAACCACAGAGTCAGGTAGAGTATTCCAGACATTGACCACTCTGTTGCTGAAGTCGTATTTCCTGCAATCAAGTTTGGTGCGGTTAACCTTGAGTTTGTATCTATTCTGTGCCCTTGTATTGTTATGGTTGAAGCTGAAGTATTCATTGACAAGTAGGACATTGCAATGTATGATTTTATACACTATACTTAGATCGGACAGAAGGCGGCGTAGTTCTAGGTTTTCTAGGTCTAGAATTTCAAGTCTGGTTGCATAAGGTATTCTGCAACAAGTAGAGGAGAAGAGAACTCTTCTTGTGAAATATTTCTGGACTTTCTCAACTGTGTTAATATCAGATACGTAATGTGGGTTCCAGACTGATGAGCTGTATTCAAGTATTGGTCTAGCAAATGTTTTGTATGCTCTAGTTAGTAGTGTAATATTACCAGAGAAAAAGCTACGTAAGATTAGGTTAACAACTCTTAATGCCTTTTTGGCTATGTAGTTACAGTGGGCTCTAGCACTTAGATCATTAGAGATGAGTACTCCAAGATCCTTGACAGAGTTTGGATCATCAACAAGGTCTTGACTATTCAGCCTGTATTTTATTTTCTGATTTTTTTTTCTAATATGTAAGACAGAGCATTTATTTGTTGAGGTTTGAAGTTGCCATTTGTTTGACCATTCTGATACATAGTCGAGGTCTTTTTGAAGGGTAGCAGTATTGCCTGTGGTATTGAATAGCTTTACATCGTCAGTGAAGAGAATGCAGTTGCTTTTAATATGATCACAGAGGTCATTTATGTAGATTATGAAGAGAGTTGGTCCTAGAACACTGCCTTGGGGGACCCCACTGTTGACAGGTACAGAATTTGATAGGACGCTCCCAATTTTGACCATTTGTTGTCTGTTTGACAGGAATGCTTCTATCCAGTTATGTAGGTGTCCAGAGATACCATAAGATTTTAGTTTTAGTAGTAGTTTGTTGTGTGCCACTGAATCAAAGGCTTTACAGAAGTCTGTGTAGATTGTGTCTATTGCTTTGTTGATCGAGTTGTGTAGTCCATAAGTTTTTGCAGTGTAAGAGTTGCAAATTGCAGGATAGTTTTTTTCTGAAACCAAATTGTTTATTAGAGAGTAGGTTGTTTGTCTCCAAGTGGAGGATAATGGATTGTTTAATAATTGATTCCATGACTTCACAGGTGACGCAGCATAAAGAGATTGGTCTGTAATTTTCAACTAGGCTGGGGTCTCCCTTTTTGAAGATGGGGATGACTGTGGCTTGTGACCATAGGTTAGGCAAGGAGCTGGTAACATTGAAGTGGTAACATCAGAAGAATACAAGATCTGAGGCAATAGGCATGAAAGTCACATATAGAAAGTTATCCCATGTTCCCACCCCCAATAGTTCAAACTGGCCATCCAATCTGAGATGTATATAATGTCATGTGAGGCATCTTCAGGTGGCATTTCACATATCTGGTATGCCAAGATGGTTGACCTCGGACTAGAGAGATAAGGCCTATATCTGTGCAGTAAGCAAGTAAGCATAGTCAAGAAAACACCCCAACTTTTACATTTCACCAACTTAAACCTCCAGCACCCTTCCTCCCATGAAGCCCAATTATACTTCCCTCCCCCCGTTTCTATGGCAGCCAGAAAGACAAGCAAAAGAAGGATTCTTGGTGGCTAACATTCTGCTTTCATTTATTATATCTTTATTACTATTTCCTTCATTCCTCCCTTTTACTTAAATGATAGAATGCTTTCTATTGTGGTGAACGAGGGGTGCATATTTAGCGGGGATCGTATGGAGGACCATGATATTTGCCAGTTTATTGGGAGGGGGATTTATTGGGGTTCAGCCAGGACGGTCCCATTTGGGTGAACTGGTAGTAAAAATTCTGGCTGGCCCTGCCCCTCCCTGCCC